TATATATATATATATATTATATGTATAATTAGATACTATTTGCATGATAATCCTAGGTTAGAATGTTAATGTTTTCTGTTATTAATTGTTGAATTGTAAAGTGTAGAAATCTATTGAGTCGTTACAAGTGTATTTAAAAGACCTCAAATCCTACATCAACTAAAAATAAGACCATAATACAATATATAAAATAAAAAAAATAACAATTACCTTACAAGTTAATTTTATAAAATTTATTATATATGAATTAACCTTATTTAAGATGCTTAAATAAAATTCAATAAAAACACTTGTATGGAGGGTTGAATTCATTATATCTGAATTAACCTTATTTAAGATGCTTAAATAAGATTCAATAAAAACACTTGTATGGAGGGTTGAACAAGTAAAGGATAGTTTTTTTTTTTCCTTCTTACTTTTGCACCGGTGCCTAATATCTATAGATATAAAGAATCCAAGAAAAAATATAATACAATCAATTAAGAATGTGCGATTATTTCAATAGGTGCCTAATATCTATAGACATAAAGAAACCAAGAAAAAAATATAATACAATCAATTAAGAATGTGTTTGTTAGATTATTTCAATAATCAATTATATGTATAATAAATTATTGTTATGATTAATTATAATTAGAATAATTTGTTGTTTGAATCAATTTTATTGAAAAATGATTTTGAAATGTTTAATTTTGTTTAGATAAAAAAATATTTTTTATATAGTAAATCAATTTTAGAGAGGTAAGATTGTTAAAAAATAATCATAAGTTTTAAATTTTCATTTTCATAAAATTAACTTATTTAAAAAAATATTATTTATAAATTGAAATTATTATCCCAAATATATAATTTTTTTTTGTTAGCAATTTTTTTTTTAAAAAAGATGAAAGGTGAAATTATAGTTTATCCTAATAGAGAGATTTAGGGGTAAAAATATAGCTTTAAACTTAATATATTAAAAGAAATTATTATGTTATGCGATGGATCATAATTTTTTGCGCTCAAAAAGTAACCGAAGAGTCTTGCAGTTATCATCAAATAGTCCAATTTTCTTAGAAATAATTTTCTTTTATCATTCTCTCAAAAAAAAAAAAATTCTTTTATCATTTAATGTATTTAATACTTAAATATATTTTCAATTTATGTAAAATAAATGAGTTTTAATTTTTTTTATCTTTCTAAAATTTGTAAATATTATTTTTATTCCTTATAAAATGAATAAATTTTAATTTTAATCTCTATAAAATATTTTTTTTAATTTTAACTTTTCTAAATAATGAAATCATTATTTTTGTCTTAACAATGATTTTAAAGTAGATAAATCATTAACAAATATGAGTAACATAAGTGATGATATATTATTTAATATTTTAATAAAAAATAGTTAAAAATAAATATATAATAATAGAAATTAAAAATAATAGTTTTAAATGTTAGAAGATGAAAAATAAATAAAAAATTAATTAAAACTAAAATTAAAATTTGTACATTTTATATGAACTAAAAACATATTTAGGTCATGTAAATAATTTATTTTTTATTGTCAGGATTTTATGTAGTTACTATAGTTTGGTGTTTTTATCTAATCTCCTTTAATGAAATAAGATAAATTTTAGCGACACTCTTCTAAACATTTTTTTTATTGAGTAAAATTTATTAAAAAAATTAAATTTTAATGGATCTTTTACCAAGTTATAAGAGACTTATTAAATGAGAGACATGACTTACCAGAAAATTTTATTTCCAATAAATTAGTTAATAATAGAAAGAGATATTATATAAATAGGAGTCATATTATGGATCATCTTTGAGTTGGTTATCTTCAAAACAAAAATTCATAAATAAAAACAAGAAATCAAGTACAAAAAGAGAAAAATAACATAAACATATAATCATATCAAAAACACATTTATAATATGAAAATAATTCGATTCAAACTGTGAATGTGAGAATCTTATTAATAGATAATTTGTAAGGACCTTTATAATCGTTTATAGAGTTTTGAGATTTGACAAACTTCTAATATTCAACTCATTTAAATTTTAAAATCATTAAAGAGAAAAAATGTCAATGACACATAATATGATGAACAAGAGAATAAAAATAATAAACAAAATTAAAAAAATGGAATAAATGAGAAATGGAGAAAGAAGGCATCACACTATATAGAGTGATAAACCAAACGAAAAATCGTTACAAAGACATGAAAACTTTTTATAGGATACAAAAGATTTCTATTTCTAATCCAATAACAAAAAAGAGGTGTCACATGCATTTATTAAAATACATTAATACACATATAAGAAGAAAAGCTATATGAATTTTTACCATGTGTAACAATTTGTTTTTTGGTAATATTATGATTGCTCAAAATTATCATAGAACTGATGGTGATCTTAGTTCTCGAACAGAATTCAAAATTTGTTTTTCTTCTTCAAATTTTTACGGCATTTTTGTCTTCAATTTTAATTTTTTTTTAATTTCTATACTTTTTAAAATATCCAAACTTTAATTCCTACAAGGAAGGAAAAATGCAAAATTTTAAAAAATAAAGTTTAAATATTTAAAATATAAAAAGGTCTATTAATTTTAAAAGTCAAAAACAATAATCAAGATTTAAAATATTTTCAACTACTAAACAGTTAACCCAATTATCATATTCACAAGAATGCGTGTTGAAATGTCTGTTTCATCTGCAAAATGCAAAGGGTTATAAATGGACCTGGCTGAATTTAATAGTTTGGATGCAAGATTTGACTAGTTGGTGATTTGTGAATTCCTAAAGGACTATAAATGAAGGACATGCATTTTGATATTGCTAGAAGACTCTTTTATTTTTTTTTTATTTTTTTATTTTTAAGTAATGCCTGTTCTTTGGATTGACTTTGAGCCATTTGATTTATCTTTCATTGAAGCCTTCTTAGTTCTTACCGTTGATTTGATCAAGGTTTCACATATATCAAATGGTTTTTAGGGTACAAACTTGACCCTCTTTTGATGGAGAAAGGCAAGTAAGCATTAAGCAATCTAGTAGCTGCCACTCCTCAATTAATGTCCATAGTCAATCAACCTGATTTAATGATACAGTTTTCATAGATGGGTTGGACCAATTTATTTTCTTTACACAAAGTAAGCCCTCAAAAGCCTTTTCCCATCTTAGATTAAAGGGTGAGAAACACTACGAGATAAGGAACTTCACAAGGCACCAAATTAGTCAAATTCATGAGATACCCACTATGTATCATGGGCACACTGTTTGTCATATTGTCTTCCTATAATGAGTTGATAAAAAAAAAAAAAAAATCCCTCTCCTTTGATGTGGAGGAGAAAATTTAAAAGCTATGAATTTCAATTGGACTATTTGATTTTGATGTCTTTTTTTATTTTTACTTGCCCTTAATTTTTCTTTTTCTGGTTTGGTGGACTACTTACTAGCCCCTAGCTTGATAATTGTTCTACCTGTCTTGGGCATTTGCTCTGAATAATTGAGTGCGAGATTCATGTGGCTGTGCCCATAAGACTCCTTAATCACCGTTGGTTTGAAATCAAATTAAAAAACCAATTAAAGCAAAAGCATATTACTAATGGTGGCCCCAACATCAACCGACCTGGCTTAATCAACGGTGTTGATTGGGTTTGTGACAACAAATTGTGTCACACAGGTATTGCTTTGCTACCCTATGTTTATTCCTTTTTTATTTTTTTCCTCTATAAAGACCACTAAAATTCATCAACATCATGCCATCACACACACATGAGACAGAATATAAAATTGTGCTAAAATATGATCAATTATCATCTCATAAAAAATATTAAAAAAAAACACTTATGGAGGGTAGAAAAATTAGGAAAGGCCAAAAATCTCTGTTTCTTTCACCCTCTTATTTTGATATTTCTCGAGTTTTGGGCTTCATTCTTTGTTTTTCCCTAGGCCATCAATATGTATAGAAACTGATTTAGACCAAAAAAACTGGATGGTAAAGATGGGGCAGCCTTTTAATTTTTATTTGATCAGGATTTGAAAAATTAAAAGCAAAGCAAAGAAAAGAAAAGAAAAGTCTACAGTCAACATGATATTTGCTATAGTATATTAATATTCTCCCATCAGTTTCTTTTAAAACAATATTTTAAAACGTATGATACATAATCAGTATTCAGTAAATATTAAATAAAAACATAAGGTATATAAATTACATGTTATTTTAGATGCCATATTTTGTCCATGAGAAAAATTATTCTCATATATATCTTATTAAATAATTAAATAATACTACCTGTAATTTATTTAAAATAATACATTTCTCATTTTAGAGCATCCAAATTCTACTAATCTATCTAAACTCTTAATTCTTGTTATAACATGAATACAGGAAAATCTCTCAATTTTTTTTAACATTAACATTAATGTGATGTATTTATTGAATTTATTAATGACTAATTTCTTAAAACTGACTTATCGTTATCAATGATTTTTTTTATATTCATAGTACTCGAATACAATTAAACCGACTTGTTGGTCTCTTAAACTTTTTCTATATGATAAACTCAAATATTTAAAATTTAATTATTCTGAAAGGTATTACATTTAGTTGAACAAAATGGAAACTGAAATCTTGGGATAACATCAGGGAACAACCCAAACAAAAAAAAAAAAACTTTTTTTCACTAAAAAAAAACAAAAATTGCTGCAAATAACAACAACAGAAAGAATTAAATAAAAAAGAAAAACAAAACAGAGAGAGAGAGAAGAGAAGGTGGGTTAAAAAAAAATAAAAAAAAAGAAGGAAAAGCTGGACATTTACTTCTTGTACAATACAAGAAGAGGTCACATACTGAGACCTTCCTCTCTCTTTCTGTCTCTCTCTCTTTCTCTTTCTCCATTGCACCTTCCCTTCTTCTTTTCTCTGTCATTTGTGAGATTCCTTCACTGCCCTTTCCTCTTCCATTGGATTGTACAAATTCCTACCTTCAACACCCAAATTCTATTTGATTTGTGTTAAAACTTTTTAAGGACTGTAAAACAAACTCTTCTTTCTGGGTCTATTGTATTGGCTTCTGCTTCTTTTATTTTTGCAAACTCTCTTCTGGGTTTGCTGCAGAATAAAGCCTTCAATACCCACTACTGCACGCCGCATAAGCCTTCTAAACAACTGTTATATTTTCAGAAAAAATTATTTTTTTAAACTTTTTTTTTGTCAATAAATTATTTTTCCCCTTTTTCTGCAAATTTTTTTCACTTATTTTTCCCCCCTTTTAACTTGAGGAAAAGATTGAGACATGGGTAAGCAAGGGCCTTGCCATCACTGTGGAGTTACAAGTGAGTTTGTTTCTCCGATATGCAATTGTTTTTTTTTTTTTTTTTTTTTTTTTTTTTTTTTTTTTTTTT